CTTTATCTAAAAGGAAGGTCTTACACCCTTAAAGTAGACAGGGTGTCTGCCTCACGGACTAAAACTGGTAGTTGGTTCCACAGGAGAGGAGCCTGATAACTAAAAGATCTGCCTCCCATTCCACTTTTAGAAATTCTAGGAAACACTAGTAAACCTGCAGATTGAGTTCAAAGTGCTCTGTTAGAAACATAAGGAACAATCAGATCTCTGATATCAGATGGAGTTTGGCCATTTAAGGCTTTATATGTTAGAAGGAGGATTTTAAATTCTTTTCTGGATTTAACAGGAAGCCAATGAAGAGAAGCCAGGATAGGAGAGATATGATCTCCCTTCTTAATTATCATCAGAACTCTGGCTGCAGCATTTTGGATCAGCTGAAGGCTTTTAACTACAGTTAGTGGATTTCCTGGTAGTAAAGAATTACAATAGTCCAGCCTTGAAATAACAAATAAATTGACTGGTTTCTCAGTATCACCCCTGGACAGGTTATTTCTAATTTTTGCAATATTGCGCAGATGACCGAAGAAAATTCTAGAAACCTCTTTATATAAATTGCTGCTCTCGGTCTGTAAATGGGCCAACACCCTACTGCTTACAACCAATGTCTCTAAAGGAGTGGATCAGAACCACCCTGTGAATGTCCTGCAGGCCAGACTGAGAATCCAAAGGGACCTTCTGTGCACAGAAGTCTCCGGGAGACGTTCTACAAAGAAGATAACTCTGCTAAGCTTGTGGCCTTTTGTAGAGATTTAAGGCTGGAATAACTGCTGAAACATGATGTTTTTTCTATTTGTAATATATTTGTAAAACGAGAAGCTTTCCCATGTTTTCATACCACAGTATCATGAGTAGAATTTAGGGTAAAGAGAGTCATTTATTAACATTGAACAACATCACTGATTGTGATGTGACCTGCAGAATGACAACTTGCCTTTGACGATTTTTGCTCAGATTGTACCCTGCTGCCAGAGGAGTAAGCTCTGCGCTGGTGACGGATTGCAGGTTCATCATCAGGAAACATTTTCACTGCAGCTGGTGTTCTTTCCTTTATCCACTTAGCCTAGTTTAATGATAGTTTGAAGCACATAACGCTTCATGTCATTGGTAGAAAATAAATCTGATTCACAGCAGTGTAGACTGACCCTGAACTGGTTTTGGTGCCTGTTTGCTTTCAGTCACCCCACACAAAAACTGGCTACACCATTTTTTACAAAAAGTCTGGAGAGCAACTGATCTGGACAATTAAAAAAAAAAACAGGAAAGTCATCCAACTGGGTAGGAAGATATGGAGGAATATTCTTTGCTCTATGCATGAAAATAACAGGCGTAACTCAATGAGAGGGCACTGATGAGATCAGTTTCTCCTCCACAGACTGAAAGCCTTTGAGGAGAGCGGGCCGTACAAGGCGGTTTGGGGCAGAGCCTCCAATCAGGACGGGGTTGTATCCGATCAGCCTCCGACGTCTCGGGTTGTTCATCAGCGAGAGCAAATGGTGATGAGTGGAGGATACATACGCAGGTACACAGAGAAGCTAATGAGGCAGCTGCCTGGTGTGTGTTTGCTTTTATCACAGCAGCCTGGCAGGTAATCCAAGCTGTCCTCAAGCCTACAAGCAGCTGCTCAAACATAGGACGGCATCACAAACATGCACACAAAACGTGTCTACCTCCTCCTTTGTTTCAGGGTGACTAATGATGCTCGCGAGGATGAGATGGAGCAGAACCTGACTCATGTGGGGAGCATCATGGGGAATCTGAAAAGCATGGCTCTGGACATCAGCAATGAGCTGGAATCGCAGGGTGGCCTGATTTCTCGCATTAACGAAAAGGTATGGAACTCCAACTGTGTCCAGATGAAGGTGCAGAACCTTGTCAGTGGTGTCAAAAGTACACACTTTTGTTACTTAAGTAGAAGTATAGATACTGCAGTTTTAAACACTCTGGTCACGTTGAAGTATCAACCTCTTTACTCATGCAAAAGAGAAAAAGTATGTGCTACAAAAGCTACTTAAACTATAAAAGTATAAAGTAACCTTTAAAAAAAAAGAGCCAGATCCCACTATATGAATTGAAAGCTCAATTTTTCGACTATTTCCAAAACAATAATTTCAGATATGGCTAAGTTGGTCTCTTGCTGGTCTCTGTCTCCATCTGCTGATACGCTCTCGCTTTTTTCCAACCATGCAGACATTTCAACATCTTTTTCTGAATCCGAAAATGCAGCATGGCTTAGACAATTTGCAGTTTGAAGAACACCTGGTTCCTTCAGATGATTTCCTTTAGCGTCCGCACAAAAGTGATGAATATTTAACCAATGACTGTTTGCGTTATATGACTCATCCAATTACAACAGTTTCACTAGATGTGGATGGCGTCAATGATCTGCACTGGATGGGCACATGACGTGAAATAAATATTTATAAACATTAAACCAAAGCAAAGAGTAACGAGTAATGTTTGTTTTAAAAATTTAATGAATAGAAAGTACAGATACTTGGGTGAAAATGTAATGAGTAGAAGTCAGACGTAGGAAGAAAAGTAAGTAATGGAGTAAAGTTAAAGTAGATATCTAAAAAGTGTACTTAAGTAAAGTAACTAAGTATTTGTACTTCGTTACTTGACACCTCTGAACTTTGTTAAAACACACCAACAAAAAGAAAATTTGCTGAACAAACCATGAAAAATGGCATCTCAAAGGATTACCTCCACTCAGAGAGCTTCCATCAGCTGGAGCAGCAGGAAAAAAGGCTACATCTAGATCCCTTCTAAATGTATTCACACCCCCTTAACCTATCCATTCCTCCTTTTGTCACATTGCAGCAGCAAACCTCACTGTGTTTCACTGCGACATTTTCCTATAGACAAACAAAACAGGGTGCATAATGATGATGTCCAAGACAACTAAGTGTGTTTTTTAAGCAATTGAGAAGTTGCATAAAAAAATATTGTTTCACAAGAAACTGCTTTTTAGAATTACCATAATGGATCAGCTGTGTAATTCAATATGAGTAACTGCAAATGTTTCTGACCTCAGAGGTTCCTTAGAGAAAAAGACCAAGGAACCTCAAAGACAGAGGAAGTTCTAGAGGTTTTAAAGCAGGGCAAGGTTCTGAAACAGTATCCCACACTTTAAGCATCTCCCAAAATCACCTGCATCTGGAATCGCTCCTAAATATGGCTCCACAGAGCACTGAACCAAGGGCATAACAAAGATGCATAGAAAATTTTTATATTTTCATTCATATAAGTGTAAAAAAACAAACAAAAAAATAATAATTTGCTTTCTTCCTCCCTGGTAATTATGGTTAACTTAATTTTGTGAAGCTGTGCCATCAGCTGATGCAATGAAGCAAACTGAATCCTGATTTATTTCTCTCTCCTCTCTGTGCAGGCCAACGTTAATGTTTCCCGCATTGAAGCCGCCAACCAGAAGGCAAACAACCTGATGAAGCGATAGGAGCACAGGACTGAATAAGTGAGGGACTGCCTTTGATTCAATGAGTCGATGCAATCAACTGATTTTCCTTAGATGGAAACTTTGACTGAATTTGACTGTATCATCCCGTGAACTGTAAAGTGCCTTGAGATGACATTTGTTGTGAATTGGCACTATTAAATAAAAATGAAATGAATTGAATAAGCTGAGCTACTTAGTCTGTTTTTTCAGTGGAGAACTTCAACTGCACTTCTTTATGTTTTTGTTCATTTCTAATTCTTTATTGGGACTGTTTTTTAGTTGGTGGCCAACAGGATAACTATTGTTGACTCTTCCTTTGGAGCATAGTGCTTTAATTTTACTGTGGAGTTTTAATTGTATCAAATTTGCTCCAATAAGGTATCCCCAGGTCACTTAGCAGGTCACAGTAATGATCCCTGCAGGGAAAGTGAGCCCCTGCAGCAGCTCTATCACCACTACTATCACCTGACAGCTCAACCAGATGATAGAGATGGACAAATGCAGAACGATTAACATGAGGCATCATGCTTCGTGGAATGTTGAGTGCACATTTTCCCTTTTATTAGAATACATCTTGATGTTCTCAACCATAGGTTCAGTCCCCATTTTCTCCAATATTGGTCAGCTCTATCCACAGCAGCTCGTTTTACTGTATCACATGTTCCCAAGTGGTTGAAAACACGTGTATTACGGCGCCCTCTTCAGATTCAGTTGGGTATTGCGTGCAGAAGGTAAGTACGCATTTCTCATGAAAGAAAGAACTCTGAGGACACCAAGCGGACAAACATGGAACTGCATCTTCCAGGCCACCCATCCTCTTTCTGTCATCCAGCTTTTGAAATGGGAGCTGAAAGGTATGGATGACTCCAAGCCATTTAAACAGCAGCCAAATAATTAAGAATTCTACTGATTAAAAGGCAAATATATATATATATACGTCATTACTATGAAAAACCAGATGTTTGATTTTTAGAGGATACTCTAGAAAAATGGACAAGATCCCATTTAAATTTTTTTCTTAGGATTTTTTGATTAGTTGCATTTATAAAGTTTGGGGTTGATAAAATGATTAATATTTTAGTTTGTTTTAGAAACAAAAATCCCTTTCGTCGTAAAAACATTTCTTAGTCACTATATCGGTGGAAAACAAATTTTTATGCATTCGACATAATTCAAACATTAACGGCGAAAAGGAAATTCAACCTTATAATGCTAACGACATCTTCTGATAGGAGTATGTTTTCAGAAAAATTGTGTCTGCGAAAGCATTCCTTTTAAGGTTTTATTTGGTTTTCCCCTGTAGTTATCGCATGACATTTACAGAAGAGCTATACTCAAGACTTATTGCAAAGAAAGCTAATTTTGATGTTCTGTTTCTAAAATAAAATCAATACTTGTGAAAGATCAAATTAAAAAAATGAATCATTGAGTTGTTTGTCTGTTTTGGATGGAAATGTAGTGGTTGGTGTTAACAGTTTCCATGCCAGCAGGGGGCGTGCAGCTGGGTCAAAATGTTGCGCGTCCAAAACAAGAGGGAGGGGGGGAGGAAATAGGTCCGCTGACAGCGGAGTCTGCGCATTTCGCGTCACTCCGAACTTTCGGGAGAACCGCACAGGAAGAAGGTGGAGGTCTGCGCCATTTTTACTTTTCTGGTAATTATTTCCCACTCTCTGTTGTTTACAATACTGACCAAACTAGTGTTCGTTTGAAATAAACGAACATGTTTAAGCTACATAAAAGAGAAGAATGCGCGAGCCGCTCCATAAAAAAACGGTGACGCTGTCCTCCATGTTTGCCGCCGCGAGCCGCGATGAAACCTCCGAATAACGCCGAAAACCTAACATCGGTTTTACCGAAACATTCTAGATAAGCAAGTTGGTCAATACCGAAAGGTTCACGATTTTTTCAAGCCTTAAAAAAAAGCGGCGTGGCCATGTAAACCGTAGTGGTGTCTGAAGACCTCTCCCCGACTGAACCATCAGGAGGAGGACAGGCTCAACAAAGACACAGCAGCGCTGCTGCTGATTGGCTCACGCTGAACACGTGACCCAAAGCAACGTTCACTTTAAATCAGATGAATTAGCTCGTTAACAAATGCGCAAACTGTTAACAGCAGCCATATAACGGGCTTTAGACTTGGATTATTCTAAGTTAAGAAATAAACTCTTTTATATACAAGATATAGTCAAAAATATAATATTCACTTAAACCAGCACATTTCTACATTAACTAGATTAACTGAGATTTTTACCATCAGTTTATTTTTATGGTAAACATTCTTTTATTTAGGTTTTGCCCTTTGATTTGAGTAAATATGCTTAAAGGTCAGATTTATAACTGCAGAAAATTATATGATTTATAAAAGGAGTGTTTTTAATACAGCCTTGAGAGACATGCAAAAATACAAGAATGGGTGGTCAACAAATTATTACATTAAGAGAAAATAAAAACACGGTTAGTTTGAGGATAAGGCGTATAATTTTAAAACATCTCAAAACACTGAAAAAATCTTTTAAAATATTCAATTATTGTAAAGATGAAGACAATTTGCTTCTGAAAGTACAATGTATAGACATTTTAAAAATTCATGTTAAAATCAAACATAAAATTGTATAATGTACTTAGATTGCTCTCAGAACACTTAACTTTATGACTTTGTGAACCAGTAAATAGCATTTAAGGCAGCTGTACTATTGGAACCAATAAGGGAGAGTTGGCCTATTGGTCAGACCAGTGCGCTTGTGCTCTGAGAAGGTACAAGTACCCAGGTTCCATCCCCACAGTCTCTACTCTGGGTTCCTGAGCAAGACCCTTAAACCCTGATTCCTCCCCAGGTGCCACACAGTGGCAGCCCACTGCTCCCCAAGAGGATGGGTCAAATGCAGAGAACAAATATCCCAATCATGGGACAATAAATGGATTTACATTACATTACCAGCCACAACACACAATGAATCCTGCTGTAATCCTCTGTCTGGGCCAAATTAAAAGTTAAACCCTATCATAAGAAATTAATCTTAGGCTCTCTGACCCATATTGAAATCCTCTGGATAGAAACAGGCTATAAATACACCACTGCTAAGATATATTTCTTTAAATTGGCATCGGCCTGGACATATGAAATAATTGAAATAATGAAGTCCCTTAACACAAAGATAGCATAGAAAACATATGAAGCTTTAAGGCTAAACGACTCCCAGGCCCTGATTGGTTAACATCAGGCGAATTAACAGAGAAGTCCAGATTCTCAGCTTCCAGGAGATCTCGGTCTGTTCTCTCTGTGTTTTCAGTGGAACTTCTCTGTGATTGTGTGCTTGGAAGATATTTGCTTGAAACTCATCTTTCCCATCAGCGAGCGTTACTATGCAGGGATAATATGGAAATCACTCGCTTCATTTTGGTTCAATATGAACGCATAGAAACCACTACCACTGATGACCACGGGATGCCCATCCTGCCGCTCATCGGCTTAATCTGTTTTGTTGCTTATTATCTGTCTCATGTATAATAACAGCAGCGTCTCCTTTATTATCTTCAGGTCTGTTTTTTTTTTTTTTTTTTTTAACATCTCCCATGGCTATCATCATGGCTATCTTTAACACTGTTGTACTGCCCCCCTAGTGTTTTTTTTTTTACAGCCATCTTAGATTTAGTCTTAGTCTTCAGGATGAAAACTATTAATAGTTTTAGCTGCATTTACGTCATTTAAGTCATTACAATATGTGATCGTTTTAGTCGGCTCAAGTTTTCTTTATCAAAGATCCATGTTTAACTAATCAGTTCTCGTTATCATGAAAAAAAAGGGCGTCAACGAAATAATTTCATCATTGTTGATGAAAAAACGCTGCTGCCCCCTAGTGTTGAACGTAGGCTAATCTTTGTTCTTCAATAATTGATCAGCAAATGTGAACCAGTAGTTCTGTGTGTGTTACTTAAAAAAGGAACTAGTTATACTTTTACATTTTTTCCTGACCTGGGATTTTTTGTTATTGAGACAAAGAGGCAGCAAACCAGCAGAACTTACATTTGAATAGAGGTGAGTATTGGCATGAGTGTTGCGATTCGATACATATCGCGATACTTGGGTCACGATACGATATTATCACGATATTGCATTATCACTATATATTGCCATATTTTCCCCTGCTATCAAAATCAAATGATGAGATAAAACAGCAAGTTCTGTGTATTTTCATCAGAAAATATTGATTAGGTATTATTATCCATGTTGTTTGGGGTTTTCTTCCACTGTGACTGCCTCAAATACAGATTTTGTGCTGCACGCACAGTTAAAGGGTTTCACAGCGCTTTCTGCCAGAGTGGTGGTGCAGAGGTAGCCCTTTTTTTTTTTTTTTTTTAATCGATACTAAGAAGTGAAAGATCGATATTATATTGGGCAGCCGAATATCAACATATATCACCAAAACGATTATTTCCCACACCCCTACATTTGAATGGTAATGTTTCCTCTGCAGCTAGCTCGCCATTACGCCCGCTCCCTGAACGTAGCGAGTTTGAACTGATGCTGACCACTAGGTGGTTTGGGACAATCCTTAATGTAACGGACCCTCCAGGGAACATGCAGATGGAGGGTTTAGGGTTAGTGCTTGGGGCTAGTATTTAGGGTTAGTGTTTAGGGCCAGTGTTTAGGATTAGTCTTTAGGGGCGGATTGGGACTGAGCCAGCATGAGCAAATCACAGCAACATTCAGCTTTGACCTCAGCAGGTGCTTTCACTTTAGGGACATCGTCGTGAGTCTGCTTAGCCTTGTGTCTGTCCGCTTAAACCCCGCCCACATAACCGCTCTTCAGCCAATTAGCGTCACGTTTGCCTCTGTCTCTGTTCCTGCAATTAAAACTCAAAGCAGTCCTCAACATTAAAGAGATCTAGAATTATATTTTTGACTTGTTAAAATTCCTTTGGAGAATCTCAAAAATATTTAGAGATACCTTGAACATTTTTAAAATCTAGACGGACTTTTTATTTTAGATATCTTGAATGATCATTCTGACTCATCAAATGAGGTTCTTAACAAAGGCATCTTAGCCTTTCTGGTGTTTGCCAGTTAGTGGTCTGCAACGATATATACATTTTGAATTCTCCAGTCTTTGAAACAAACCTTATTCCTGCAGCTCATCTTCAAACTGGATCAGAATTGCAGACAATGCTACATTTCACCTTGGGATTGTGTTGACCGCAGCATATTTGCAGTATGTCGATGTGTGCCAGCGTGTTTTAGCGTGCTCATAAAAACTGATCCATAACTTATCCAACGTATGCCAGCGTTTTTGCTCGATTTTTCATACGTCAGGCAAATGCTGGTCTAAATTGTCATGGTATGACAGGGGGTTTAATAAACTGTATTTATCTTAGAGTACAAGGCTTTAACCCTAACATTTGTAAACAGATAATCCATTAATTGATTATTCCTTTGTCAGTTTCTGGCTGTACATCAATACAAATGCCAACACAGTATTCCTAATGGATTCTACGCAACTCTCAGAGCTCAAGGACTCAAGAAATGCTTTTAAAATATGCAGTAATTCAAGCTTTAAGAAATTAGAAATATAACTTGTATAATTTGAAAATGCAAATATAATGTGCAATTTATCACATGGCTTGTATTGAAGAGAGTTGCATAAGATCATGGGCATCAGTTCCCATCCATGGAATAACAAAATAAATTTGCTCTTGTAGAAATCTTTTCTTTTATTATCCAGGGAATACTTCAAGAAGAGAAGAACATTCTCCATTCCCCCCCCCCCCCATTCTTTTTCATTCTCAATTAAAATCTCTAGTTCCAGTGTGAAATAAGCAGTTCCTGTTGTCATGGTGATTTCTCGCATGGCTTCTCACACTCGTTACACAAGTGTTCAACTCTGAGTGAACCTATCTAGGGTTGATGAGCTAATTCATAGCAGCAGTTGTGAAACCAAAAACTCAGAGTTCCCATAATTAAGCTAGATAAATTTAAAGTTGAGGTTTGAATTTAAGTTAGTTAAACCTGCTTTGTGAAAGGGACCCCTCATCTTTTGCTGCTTAGTTATTAAACCCTGCTGTCAGCTACTGACTATGAACACCATTAAACTAGATTACCCTCTAGTTTGTGGACATTTATTAACCCTTTTGCCCCTCTCTTACATCAAATAGCAAATAAAGATCTGACTCTAAGATTGTCAGAATTTTGACACAAAATTACCACAAAGTATTAATGCATAACATGATAATTATGGAAGGAAATAGTATAATTTCCCTCTGAAATATCAAAAGCCAGATTATTTATTGTGAGTTTTTGTTGCATCAAATCAGCAGCACCTACAGAAGATAATGGACTGTTTTTATCAAACAAATGGAAAGTTTATGGTGACATTTGTTTGTGCAGTTGGAAATGGAGCTTATCGAGAATGAAGTTCTTTTGATTTTAGTGCTCTGATATCAAAGTGAGACTGTAGAGTAGTGGCACAGCTGTCTGCTTTGTTTTACGCGATGAGATGTGATTAATTTAAGGGACGCATCCTGTGAGCAAAGAGTCATGTTTGCCATGAATATTTATTACATCCTTTTGTTAATACCAGAAAGAAGTGAGAGGAAGCTGGAGCATCTGAGAAACTAAACTGTGGCGCAGATCAGAATATATTCAAAGCAAAAGAAAATCTGGGTCATTTAGTTTGATCCAAGCCGTTTCCTTTTACTGACTGAAATGAGACATCATCCCTCAAGAACAGATGTGATGCTTATTTTTTTTATGTAAGGGAACTTTCTGCACACGAAATGTTTCCTTTGGTTTGATGCATAGAAACAGAAAGAGGTTCAGGCATCATTTGAGTCATGATCAGAGCAGAGGGAGGAAGTGCTATATTGGTTAGAAAAAAAACAATATTACCGTAACAACATGACAAATATACAATGGAGTAGTTGGGCCAGGCTAGAGATTTTTCTTTCGAGAATAAAGTGATAAAATTAAGAGAATAAAGTTGAAAAATAAGGATAATGAAGTCATCACACAACAACCCATTTCAGAAAGAAAGCTTCGGGCTCTGTCTGGCAGACTATGGTCGACCAGCCGCACCAAACAGCCACCAAAAAAAAACAAACAGCTGTATATGTTCATCAGAAGATTTTGATAATTGAGTTATTTTGGTATCCATGTTGTTTAGGGTTGTAGTCAGTCCACGTCTTCCACTGTGACTGCCTCAACTACAGATAAGGATGACCTTCTTCTCTTCTCTCTTTCTCATCCATCATTCCTCTCTGACTCCGCTTCACTTTAGGTCCCTGTAGATTATGGACTCGGCGCTCAACTGTGTTCAGATGGACTCTCCAGAAAGGAGTACGATGATGGAGCCGAGCGCCGCGGAAGTCATGTGGGGTGAAGAGGATGAAGAGTTTTCACAGAGAGGAGTAAAGGAAGGGTTAAAACCCAAACCCAGGTTCTCATACACAGAGGTCAAGATGCTTCTGGACGAGGTGAAGAAGAACAGACACATCCTCCTCAGTAAGTTGACCCATTGACCCCTAAATGTGAAACAGGATCTCTGGCTGTGTCCGAACGTCCGTCATAACCCCTGATCCCTCAATCACTATATAGAGCAGGGAGTATATAGTGGACTTTATAGTGAACTCGGTTTAATGACCTCTGGGACAGATGGTCACTGCTTTTCACTCCCCATTGGTCACGTGACTCTGCATGTCGTGTCGGGAAGTGACAGCCATAGGCGTCAGCGGGTAGCTGTGACAACCAATCCCATGATGCTTTACAAATTGTTCCAGGATATATCTGCTCGATTAGTGAGCATGGATGATCACTACTTTTCAAAGTGCATTTTGGGAAATTTGGAATCCACTCCTTTTTCATCCAGCAGAAGTTCAAAAACTCATTTAAAATGCTGTATCCACTATATAGTCCCATATATAATGATTAGGGCGCATGGACATTTAATATGATATATTAATATATAAGAAATGTTGAAACCTAAAGAGTTGAGGATGACATAATTTAGACGTTGGCAGAGGAAGGGGAGGTTTTTAGGAAGGAGCAGGAGCTTCTGCTGATCCGCTATATATATATATATATATATATATATATACCGGTGTATGTGTATATATATATATATATATATATATATATATATATATATATACACACACGAGAGCCATGGGTACTTGTTGATGGCATTACAATTATTTCTAAGAGCATTAAAAGAGAATTAAAAAGGAGCAGTGGGGGAATGATACCAGGTCATGTTCTAAAGGGCATCACTATTCATCGCTGTTTGTTTATATGAAAATGTCCCATTTGAGTGTTTTTTTTCCCTCCAGAGAAGTTTAACTGCGGCGTGTCGGTGGATTTGAAGAAACAGAAGTGGGCAGAAATCACAGATCAGATCAACGGTTTGGGAGAGAACCACAGAGAGGTCCGCTGAGCTTTATCGCTATGAATGAATCCACCTGACCTGGAGTTCATCCATTCAAAGGATTTCTGCTTTCTGCTGGTTTCACAGGTTCGTCAGATCATGAAGAAGTGGGCCGACCTTAAATGTGACGGAAAGCGCCGGATGTTGGCCCTGAGGGGCCCCAACGGCCCCAACCTGAGGAAGAAGAAACTGGGCCCAGTGGAGAGGATGGTCCACAGGATCCTGATGATGAGTCCTAACAGAGGTTAGAAGAAGTCTGAACGTAATCGTCTACAGAGCTGGGAACAGTATTTACCTTCTTATTGATCAGTTCATTTAGGGTTTTTAATCACATTCAAACATTTCACGTCATTAAAAAAAGGTTGATGTTAGATCAAAATAAGCTGAGTGGGGAAAATTGAACTTCATTCTTTATTCCGACCCAACCCGGAATTGTTTCATAAAGCAAAAATGTCTGTGTCAAGCTCACTGCAACACACTGCTGTAAGAGTATAACCAGGAAGCGAGGTAGGAGGGCAAAATAGGTTTAGCGCCACCACAGCATGGGATGGAGAATTACGTCCAGGAGCAAATGGATAAAAATAGAACAGAGGGGGAAAAAAACATGAATCGATTCTCTTGCGGACGTATCGATGCATCGGATCGTCGGCTGTTGGATCGATGCATCAATACAAAACGATTATTATTTACACCCCTAGAAATGGCTCATGATAACCTGAGCCACTCTATTAGCTTTTAAAAAAAGTAAAGTTTTAAGCCTTAAAAATAGACAGGTTGTCTGCCTCGCTGACTAAAACTGGTTGAGAGGGAAGTGCTCTGTTAGGAACATAAACTATCAGATCTCTGATGTAACATGGAGCTTGGCCATTTAAGGCTTTATGTGTGAGAAGAAGGATTTTAAATTCTATTTTGGATTTAATAGGAAGCCAATGAAGAGAAGCTAAGATATGGGAGATATGCTCTCTCTTTTTAAATTTCATCCCAACTCTGCTGCAGCATTTTGGATCAGCTGAAGGCTTTTAACTCCATGATAGTAAAGAATTACAATATGGTTCTCGGCATCACACCTGGATAAGGTATTGCTTATTTTCACCATATTCCGGAGATGAAAGAAGGAAAATCTCGAGACGTCTTTGATTTAAAACCTGGTCTGACCAAAAATAACGCAAAGATTTTTTACTTTATTGCTGCTGTAATGGGTTTTTTTTTAAACCAAACTCCAAGTGTCTGCCCAGTTGTAGCTTGCCAATAATTACTCAGCTCCTCAACTGCTGGACTTATCCAGCCCAGCCTCAAAACGACACTGCTAGTTAGGATTGAAGATGCATCAGTCCTGTTCTTCTCCAGGTAGTGGTCCTGCAGCAAGCAGCCTCTCAAATATTCTGTGAACAGATGAATCAGAAGTGGACCATATGTGACCAAAGAAAACCAGAACATAACACCTACAGTCTGACATGGTGGTGGGATTTTCTGGGTTTGCTTTGAAGAATCTGCTCCTGACCAGAACATCCCACATCACACTATGGTTCTGCAGCAGAACAGTGATCCAAAGCATGGCAAAAAGACCTCTGAATAATGTCCTGAAGCGGCCTAGTTAAAGTCTGGACCAAAGTCCTATTCAGATCCTGTTTTTTGCGCTTAAATTCACTGGTCTTACTAGAAACTTATCCAGTTTAAGGGGTCAAGTGCCCCGGAGTGGGTGAGTGATCATCACAAACCCTGGATGCTGGATTATGAGGTTGGAAGACGTTCCTTTGGGTCACCGCTTTAGCCTTAAAAATGAACCAATGGCTGAAAACCCGCTGCCTGGTTCTGATCTGATATTAAAATCTGTTTGATGGTGACAAGAACTAAAAGTAAAAACCTCCTAAGTTAAACTGAGCTAACTTCAGAAGTAGCTGACCTGCCTGTAGCTGCTTAAAAACTGGATCTTTGTGATTTGTCTGCTGTGGGCTTCTGAAGAAACTTTGCCATTTCAGGCAGCGAACAATCAAATCTAACTTCAGATCTAACCAAGGCTCCAGCTGGTACTTTAACTGCTTTCATGTTCGGGTTCTTAGATGGCGAGAACGATCAGGACATGAGTCCCGATGAGGATTTTCCAAAGACTTTCCAGAAAGGTCAGTTCCTGAACGCAGCCCCCTATTCCTACCTGAGCCTGAGTGAGAACTCAGAGTCTAACAGAGGAGTTCTCTCCTTCGACAAGTCGCCTCACTCCTCATCAGAGAAAGAACTCGGTAAGTCCGTGTTCTGTCAGCCCAGTTGATTCGATCATTGCAGAGTTAACTTTTGTGTTTCCGCTTCCATCTTTAAACGGGCTGGACCAGAACTTCCACAGTCCAAAATTGGGCTCAAGAGACGGGAGAAGTTTCTGACATTTGAGATTTATTTCATTGTAATTAACTCCATTTATTCATTATTTAACTTATCTTATTTTCATCCAGCTATTTATGTTTTACTTTGTCATTTATTAATGTTTGTAACTCTCTTAAACCTTTAACACTTGTGTAAAATGAGCGGAAAATGCATAAAAAAATTTAAAAATATGTCTTTAAAGGATTTCAACAATTAGACACCGAACGAATAGACCCAGAGGGGAGAGATGCAGAGTGGTTCTACACAGGGTGGGTCTGTTTGTGGGTTTCCTCTGTGGCGTCTGACCCTCTGGATCAGCTGGTTCTGTTTGGATGAAAGAAGGAAACATTGAGAGTTAACTGGAACCATGGGCATGGTCAGATTGGTTCCAAAGGTTCTGTTTTTGGTGACACGATGTTTCTGATGTTCCACAGAAGAGCTGATGGGTTCCTCTCCAGAGTTCAGCCAGGCTGATGATGAAGGTAAGAAGATGAAGAATGTTTGTTCTTCTTCTTTAACATAAGAAAAGTTGAATCTGCCTGAAACCCGATTGGTTCTGTTCAGTGTGGCGCTAAGACACGGAAGACCAGACTAAGTTTTAGTGCTTTTCTTCTCCAGCTGCTTCCTCCCAGGACCTTTTGGCCAGAGACTCCAGGCAAAGAGTCATCCACACGTACTCCAGGACCCATCAGAACCAGAACCACATCCAGAGCTCCCCTCATGCAGTCTCCTCCTCCAGTTTCCCCTCAGATGCTGCTGTCTCTACCTCCTTCTCTGCAGCTCCTCCATTATCTCCTGGAGGCTCCAGGATGCCTCCTTTGCTCCTCCGTCCTTCCTCCTCATCAGTTGCAACTAATGGGGCTCTTCATCCCACACCACACTCCTCTTCCTCCTTCCCTCCTCCTCCTCCCCCCTCCCCTCCTCCTCCCCCCTCCTCTTCAAACGCCTCCTCCTCCAACCTGCTGCCTCCTGGGTCATCTCAGCGCCAGTCCCAGGCGCAGGTGGCCCAGCTGGCCTCCCAGAGCCTCCAGCAGCAGCGGGCGGGTCGAATGCTCCTGACGTCGGTGTCCCAGTCCATGGAAATGCTGGCGCAGTCCGTGCAGCTGCTGGTGGAGAGCCAGCAGGAGTTTGTGCAGGAGTCCCTGCAGCTGCAGAGGGAGACGGTGGAAGTTCTGAGGGACTTTTCAAACACAGCGCTCCGTATGCTTGGCGACAAATTCAGCGGCGAACAGCTTTCTTCCAACCATCCACCTCCTCCTCCATCTGCAAACCTCCAGCAGCATCCAGCTCCGCGTTTCTGAGGGACAAGAAGCTGGGTTTAAATCCAGAAGGGGACAGATTGTCCAACAGAATCCTCTATGTCTCAGCTGGACTTCCAGCTGGTTCTCAGTATAAAAACAGGATCTTGCTTCTGTTGGGAGACAAAGAAGCATTTCAGGACTTATTCATCCTTTAAGGTCGAAACAGTAGTTTTTGTTGGTTTTAGAAAATGATTTGGCTCTGATCCAGCCAATGGGTTCAGAGATATTCTCTATATTCTATTTTTAATCATTTCTGCATAAAGTTTTGTTTATTCACTCTATTCTTTTTTTGTTATCTTCTTTAACCTGTGAAATAAGAACACGGTTAAGAAGGAAAGACATTCTATGAAACACTTACAAAGACTTTAAAATCCAGCATTTCATCCTTTCCTGATTCTACAGTGTGGTTGTCTGTCCGGCAAATGACCCAAAGGGCAGTACCAGTAAGATTTCTTTATTTATTGACTATAAAAAGACAGAAATCCTGCTGTGAGCTGCTACATTTCTTTTAATAAATTAAGATTAAGGTAAATTAAGACTCTTTTCTTTCTGGTCTGTTTTTAGCGATGATCTCCTGTTATTTCATATCTGTTTTACTTGATGGCAGTTGAATAAAATTCTTCTAAATGGGCCCAAAAGAAATAAACAATCTTTAGAATTTTCTGGATCAACAGAAAGGTCCGATAAGCAAGGAATAATCAATGGATCATTGATTATTCCACTGGGACTTGATCAACAGCCGATACCGCACCGTGACGTCACAAACCAGTAGGTGGCAGTAGTGTTCTTTGACAAACATGGATGCCTCCAGTAAAGCACATTAAAAAGAAATTACTCTTAATTAAAAACATGTTTATTGAACAGTATGTAATAATTTTATGTTTAAAGCACTTCCATAAGTTTATATTCTGAATGTGACGGGACTTCTCCTTTAAAAACACAAATTTTTTATTTTTCTTCCGTTTCAAACAGAGCAGATGTAAACAAATTCAGGGAATACCAAAAAAGGAAAAATCTCTGGAGACTGAAAAGAGGGAAGTTGTTTGTTTAATAAGTTTTAATCTTTATTTTAGAAAAAAAAAGTTATCTAAAATGAGAGTGAAATGAAGATTGAATCAAGTTAATTGATGTAGCTATAATCTTTCACTCCCCTGACCTAGAAGAACCGGACAGGTTGTCATCAGAAATCGGCAGAATAGAAATAAAACAATAATTTGGACAGTTTGATATGAATACTTTAGGAGAAACAAACAGGCTGAATCAGAACAGAATATTTGTAAGTAAAGTGGATGTTTGTCATCAGTCACAATGAGAAAGGAGGTAGTAAAGAATGCTGGGTGCTTCCAACAATGCTTCATCTAGTATAGGGACCCTCTGATGCTTAGCTGTCATAGATTATAGCAACAAGTTTATTGATACTTTGCATTTCTTGAGAAAACTATTTAAAGTGCACCAAATAAAAAAGCACAATTACAGTGGCATAGAAGGAACACAAAGAATCAGTGACACATTAATATAAGTGGATGATATATTTAAAAAGATTAAAAACAGAAACTGATTGAGCAAATGGAACCAAAGTTACACCGAACACTTTAATAAGGATTAAACAGCTAATTCAAAGGCTTATCTGAACAAATATGTTTTTAATCTTGATTTAAACCAACTTTTTACCAAACCTTGGAGTGAGATTTTGAAACTGAAACTAAGTGGCAAATTGTGGATTTTTTTTAAAGCACGGTGAATGTTACTGAATAACAATAATTTATCTTTAGTTATTTGGAAAAACCTTCGCACAGTGTACATTCTTTTTTTATATTATGGTGATTCTTAGAGAATTGAAGTAATGAAGAATGGGCCCTACTAAAATTGCATCTTAAATTTACTGTAAACTAAGAATTTCACAACTGTGTTTATTAGTTACTCTATGCAATTCCAGTAAAAAAAAAATGGGGCACTAATAGGTTATTACTAGTTTACTGGCACTAATACAGGAACCAGTGCAATCAAATCCTGTGCAAACTACACTGTGTATGAATGTTTGGTAATCAGCTAAGGAGTTAAAAGCTTCACTCATTATGTTTTTATTTTTTTTTTTTGTTTTTACAATTGACAAAACAGCCTAACAATTCAGACCTTCTAGGAGGCTGTAGATTCTATAAAAACGTACCATGACACAAGACAGCACTTCTCTGGGTGTTTAATTATGGTAGATATGATGGAAATTACGTTTTACCTCGGCGCCGCGCTATGACGTAATCGGCCTTCGAATCCGGTCTTCTAAGGATGCGTCCTAGGTTTTCGAACAGAGCCATAGGCTCATAGGCCGAAAACCTAGGACGCATCCTTAGAAGACCGGATTCGAAGGCCGATTACGTCATAGCGCGGCGCCGAGGTCTGGTCGGATTCCAAGAGTCCTCGTTATGCGGTCTTAAAATGCGTCCTTCTTTTTGCCCGATTTGAAGGACGGGTCCGATGTATCCTCGGTATTCTTGGATATCCCAGGATTCATTGCGAGACCAAGCAAGCTGTGATCAGAGGAAAGGTTACTTGGCGCCGAACAGTGGTGAAAATTGGAAGTTCAGTTTAATATAATACAACTCTGTGAATAGTTCCGTCTGAAATGAATGAAAATAGTTGTTTTAATGGTTATTGAGTCAGATATGTGGCGGTAATGTTTGGTTTATCTAAAGGTTTTAATCTGTTACTGTGTAAATGGGTTTGGCTGTAATTTAAGGACAGATTCTAATATATTTGCAGGGTGGGGACTATAAATCTGATAGGATTTTCATCTTTTTATTGCTATTTTGCACAATATGCTTAACTTCCTATTTTTTGTTGTTGAATATTAGAGATTTTGCAGATATATTTTTTATACATATATTGTTTAGATTTACTTATATCTTTCTACCCCTTTATAGAATAGAATAGAAAATCTCTTTATTTTCCCACAATGGGCAAATTTACAGCAGCAGAAAGATTATTGAAAATGGTCACACAAATGTGGACCTTAGAAAAATCTATAAGAATAACATAATAGGAAGAGTTGAAATATAAACAATAAAATACTGTAAAGTGTTTTAACAATATAAAACTGGGGAATAAATAACCAATATGCAACTATGGACATTTTTCCAGTCATGGATATTTGAAAATAGCAGCAACATCAGAGATGTGCATCATTACATTTGATTTTATTTGTTCCTGCTCCCAGTGGTTGGAACCTTTATTCCACTCTGGATTCTTGTGAGTGTAGTCTTTGTTCACTTCACAATAAAAAAGAAATAAATAAACAGTTTTGAAAACTTCTGTATTCATTCTTTTCCTGCTATGTGTGTCAATTTTCACGGTTGCTAAGCAACAGAGCATGCGGCGGTAAAACCCGCCAAAGGGTAGACCTGGTCGAATTCACCATAGATATCCATAATAAAGGCTAGATGTCTCGTCCGCGCTGCTGGCCAATGGGGGTCGACGTCCGCACGTGGCGGCCATCTTGCTACAGGCAGCTCGCTCATTCGTAACATTGTGTTTTAAAGGCGCATGTACTTAAATAACCATAACTTCCTCAATTGTCTAACGATTCTCAAACTGTTTGGTTTGTTAAAAAAAAGTCAGACATGTAGTTATGATACTGCACACTTATGAATAATTATAACCATGGAATTTCATATGAAAAGAACATTGAATAGAACATACAGGTGCAATAAATATACACATGCACAAGGTATTTATGTTAAATCAATATATGCTATTAAAACTCAGTGTACTGAATGGCAACATGATATATAGATATATCTATAGATATCTATATATATATAAATATGTGTATATATATATATATATACATATTTATATATATATATATTTTAATATGTATATATATATATATATATATATATACACGCACATTTATATATATATATATATATATATTAATATGTATGTATATATATATATATACATATATATATAAATAAACACTTTTATTTGGGTGTGATTAATTATTTCACAGTCCTAATTTATTTATATTTACATACATACTTTTATAATATGAATATTATTGTTATAATAAAATATGAAATACTGACAAAAAAGGCTTATTGTGTGGCAACCTCTTGGTGTAGAAGCATAATCCAGGTTTCAAATTAAAGGTAACACTTTGAAGTTTCATGTAGACTATTCGGATTATATATCAGGGGTAATTACACAAAAGTTCCTATTTTTAAACCATTATAAAAGTGACATTTATTTGCTATTAAAATTGGTACAATAGTCCCCTTCACAAGTATATATAGATGTAGCATGTTGAAATCCCCACCTACACTACTGTGATGGTATACACATGGAAGACAGAGATTTAAAAAATGACCCAAAAAACATAGCTTGGCTAATGCCCTTTGAAAAGGAAGGTTTTATTGAGCTTCTATGTAATGTACAAGAGACCGTTGTCCACAAGGCCATCAAAGCGGACAGGAAGGTAGCTGTGGTCATGTACTAGCGCAGGAATGTCAGCAAACGGGGATGGAAGATCTTCTCCTCCTGCTTACACATTATATAACCTGCAGAAACAAAAACAAAAGTGACCAACAACAATTCACGGTGTATAAGATTGGTATATCAATATGTGATTAAATTTCAATGATACACATGCCCTTTGAAGATGAGCTGGAAAGTTGAAAATGTTTGGCACAACACCATCTTTAAGTTGTCCAAATGAAACTAATACAAGCTTATAAAAGCTTTGAGTCAACAACAATCTTGTAATACTATTATGTCATAGCAAAAGTCTGGCATCTTCCTTTTAATAAACCCAGCAAATTCCTGTAACTTAATGTATGATGTGTTGACAGACCAAATCGATTTGAAATCATGTTAAATTATGCCTCTTCCACTGATGTAAAGTTGCTTGTTAACGTTAGCAGCTAGCTAAACTGTAACGTTAGCTGCTAACTTACTAACGTTAGGTCTCACTTCGTAGCTTCTTGTTATTAGCCAGCTAACGTTAGGCTAATAATGAAAATACAACAACACTCAGATTATTGTTATTAGCCAACTAATAACTACAACCACATCCACAAAGATTGTAATTTACACCAAAGATTAATTGTCATACAATCGTTATTGGTGTCAGTAAAACCTATATAATTGACTAATAATCTCAGCCTTGATAACTTGCGCAAGTAGCTGTGATGCACAACTATACTGCGCGATTAAGTCATTTTTCGACAAGAAAATCTGCAATTTCGACATGTTCAAGCATCAAGAATAATAGCCACGTTCATAATGTTTGTAAGAAACCAAACTGTTTGTAAATCCGTCAAGAATTCAGTGAGGTAAGAGTATCTGTCTGCGCCAGGTGACGTCAATGTTTACCTCGGGCGCGGTGCATCGTGGGAAAACCACCATATTAGGTGGAAAGTCGAGATAAGCCACACGCCGCTGTTCTTTCGGCACAATTATTTACCAGAAATGACACGATCGTGTTGTGTGAGAGGCTGCCAGTCCCGGTGTCGTGCCAAGGTAGTTATCCCTGCGAAAACTTGTATCCCCTCATCGGGAGCGCGCACGGAGTAGGAAGAACAACCCGACATAACTCCGCTTCAATTCCAACGTGCAGAACTTGAAATTTGAAAG